AAAAAAAAAAAAAAAAAGAAAGAAAGAAAATCTAGTCGGCAAAAACCCACTCATCTCTTTTTCATCTCTTAGTTTTTCCACAGCCTATCCACATTGTCTTCAATATAGCTACTAGATTAATTTTCCTAAGATATTTACTTCAACACATAATCCTATGAATAGTGAAATAACTTGAAGTTAGTAGAATAACATATTTGTAAAAAATTTAGTAATAAAAATCATTTGATAATGAAAACTTCCATATTAAGTCTTTCCGCTCAATGTATTAATACATAGGTGAACACCTCTTTGCATCCAAGTTAACTAATTTGTATTTGTCATCTGTGACTTAGGCCCATTGCAATAATGTGCCAAAGTGACATATAATCTCTTCCACCTTTATGACATAGTGTCAATCCCAACATTTATACTACAATGTAATTTTATTTATCCACTTAATCTATCTAGGAACTCCAAGCATATTCAACCCTGTTTGGAGGACAATATTTTACTGATGTATTTTTTTAATCTATAATGTAATTTTCTTTTTTCTTAAGTTATTTTAAGAGTGTATCTAGATGAAAATGCTAAACTCACAATTTGTTAATAAGAATAAATAAAAAAACAACACTAGCCAAGATTTACTTAGCTGTAGTGTGAGAATTTCCTACATATAAATCGCCTGTAAAACTCTGTAGTCTTCAGGGGCCATTTTATGTACAGATTGAATATAATGGGCACTTCTACCAGTAACTGTGTATAATAAGAGTTTTGGATGGTTACAACAGTCTTCAAGACATCTTCTATTATACATATGCATTATTTTTCCCAGATATTTCTTACAGAATTCTCCAGGACCCATTTCCCTCCCCAACCACAAGCTGACGGTGCGTGAAAACTTAGACAAGCACGCCAGAGTCTTTAGACATGGCCTATGCCCAGCTGAGTCACCTGCACTATAAATGGTGCTTAACAGAATTATGTACAAGGAAGCATTTATAAACCGTAAGGAATTCTGGAGCTCTGTTAGTTGAGGCTGCGCAGCAAATGGCCATTTATGCTGCTTTATAAAATGTGCTTCTATGTACAATTAGATTTTGAAAGGAACTGATCACAATGGTGCTTTTTTAAAATTTCTAGCTAGAGAGAGCACTTTAAAGTTTAAGTAACAGTTGGTAGAAGAACAAAAAGTACGATCCTTTTAAATTTTAAAAATAAGGCCTCTGTTGTCTGGAATTGTGATACAGTGGAAGCCAGTCCTCATGCTGGTATTGCTGAGAGGCAGGGTAACGACCATGGTACTTACAAAACACTGGAAAAATTCATCAGGACACACTTGTGGGATCTGCTTTTACTCTCAGTGTGTCTATTTATCATGGCACTTTTTCATATATGTGTCTGCAAAGACTGAAAAGGTGCTCAGTGTAAGATCTCCATATAAAGACTCCCTATTCAGAGAGCCTCTTCTCTGTGAGAAAATGGTGAAGAAATTAGACAGATCTTCAGTGCCCAGAGAGAACTGATCTTGTGAATGACCAGAGTATATTTCACACCATGGAATTAGTTATAACAAATAACAATACAATTGTCACTTCTGCAACAATAATGCTGTTACTGTGACTCCAGCTGCTACTACAATTACTAATGGCTACAATTTACTGAGTATTAGACCAGCTACTGTTTAAACACTTTTCCAGATTTGATGAAACTCTCACACTAACTTTAATTATTTTCTCTGTTTTAAAGCAAACAAACAGAGGCTTAGAGACTAGCAACTTGACCCACATCACGTAGTCAATGAAGTGGCAGAGGAGAAATCACGCCAGGTCTCCCTGGGTACTCTAAAAACAATGTCTTAATGCATAAAACCAAAGATGCCAAATAATTTAGGTGTGTGTTTCCTAGAAAATTTCATCCCACATACCTGGAGAGTTTGGTTTTTCACATAGCAAGGGGTACCACAAAGCTACAGAGGAAGGAATCTCTTTATGTGATTTTCCTAAAATTTAGTACACAGGACAATCACCCAGCATGCCCTACCCCCAATTCCACCCACAAACCTGACTCACTGCCTTCTTATTTTTTCAAGTCTCTTAATTTGCATTGATTATTACATTGTGTCGGCCTAAAGGCCATGTATATCCCATAGAGATTTGGTGCATGACAACATTGTACGGTCTGCATGCAGATATAAAGCAGTTTGAAAAACTGTTGTAGCTTTTGACCTCAGGCAGTCTTTAAACATGTCCAGCATTTGCTATGATTTTGTTTGCTATGTCATTATAATTTGAGAATTATGTAAGAGTTATATTGCCAGGAAGCAGTTAAAATGTTACCATCAAAACCAATAAAGGAGACTTCCCTCCTCTTCCAGGGTGAAAGGGTAGACATACTTCTCCCTATTCTTCTTGCTAGGTATAACTAAAAACCTGAATATTAAATATAAAACAAACAGAAAAAGACTTTGAAAGGTGGAGAGAAAAAAGCAGAATGACTAGGAAGCTTGGGACCTGAGGAAGGACATGGTGTTGAGTTCTCAGGGTTTTCTTTCTGCCTCTTATATCCCATACCCACAGCTGAAGAAGCTGGCAACTATGAATCACCAACAGTTGTAGACAAGAGAAAAAGCCCCAACAAAATCCTTATGTCTCTAGCCAAAGGACCAGGAAAGGGGCAGCCTGACAAGGCAATACTTTCAGCAATAACTGTTCCATTCTAGCCAAACACCACAAAAAGCTTTGACCTCCCCCACACCCAGGCCTGCAAAGGCCAAGTGGGGAGCCTAGAGGTCCACCCTCCTGAGGATGTAACGAGGTGCCCAATATCTCTCCCAGAGAAGGCCAAGCAGGGAGCAGGTGCTTTCACCCCCAACGGTCAGTGTTAGTGAAGACAATTGCAGGAACCTGGACTTCCATCACCACTGGGCAGTAACAAGTCACACTTTTCCTTCCCCAGTCGGGTGGTATCAGAGGAGGCCTAGCAGAGAGTCACAATGCTCACCACTGCCAGCAGTAACAAAGCCACTGCCGCCATGGTGTCCTCGCTCAGCAGAAGCAAGGGTCCCTCTTCCCTCAGATGTCAATGGATGCCAAGTGGGACACCTAGAATTCTATCTCCACCTCGCCATAATGAATAGGCACCCCCATCCCCTGATGAATGGTGTCACAAAAAGCCAGCTAAAACAGAAAGTTTAAATAAGATCCAGACTCTTACAATACAAAAATGTCTAGGTTTCAAGGGAAAATCACTCATCATATATCAAGAACCAGGAACATCTCAAATTGAATGAAAAAAGACAATCAATAAATATCAACACTGAGATGGCAGAGATGTTAGAATTGTCTGACACACACAAAAATTAACACAAAATGGATAATGGATTTAAATGTAAAATACTAAACTATAATACTTTTTGGAAAAAAAACTAGGAGATAACCTTTAAGATACCAGGCTAGGCAAAAGGAGTTCTTAGACCTGACGCCAAAAGCATGATCTGTAAAAGGAACAATTAACAAATTGTACTTCACCAAATTAAAAACGTTTGCTCTGTAAACCCTCTTAGGAGGATAAAAAAACAAGCCACAGAGTGGGAGGAAATATTGGCAAACCACATATTGAAAAAAGAACTGGTATCTAGAATATATAAAGAACTCTCAAAATTCAATAGTAAAAAATCGATCCAATTAAAAATGGGGAAAAAGACATGAAAAGACATTTCACTGAAGAGGCTATATAGATGGTAAATAAGTATGTGAAAAGATATTCAGCATCATAAGCAATTAGGGAAATGCAAGTTAAAACCACAATAAAATATCACTACTTAACCTAACAGAATGTGCCCTACTCCAAGAAAAGTGACACCATCAAGTGCTGATGAGGGTGTTAAGAAATTGGGCCATTCATACATTGTACATATGGTATACATAGGAAAGCCATTACTTTCCATAGTGGTTACACCATTTTATATTCTTATATATACACAAATATATAGATACATATATATTTGAACTGCCAGATATATTATTTCTTAATATTTTAAGTGAATCATGTTATATTAGACTCATAAAATAGTGGTGCTTGAAGGCACCTCAGAATTTACCAAGCCAAACCTTCTCATTTCATGGCCAAGGAAACAGGGCTAGGAAAGTTAAGATGCTGACTCGTCATAGTGAAAAACTCAGAATTAAAACTCAGGTCCCCTGGCGCCCCTGGCTCTTCTCACTTCCTCAAGCAATTGAATAGATGAAAAGAGAATGAAAAGTTACCAACTTGACTGGGGATATAAATTCATGGATTAATTTAAACTGGGCAAAGTAAGAAATAATACCAGAGTTGGCTTTTTGAAATTAAAAACTGCTTATTCTAAGATCCCTTAACAAACACTCTTTACATTCTAGTTTCCTCGCAAAATGAAGGTAACTGCATGTGAGTTTGAAATGTTGTTAGGTTATTCTCCCACCGCCAGACTGCCCAGAGCATTACGGCCAGCCACCCGCAAAGTGACTGAAGCTTTTTTCCATGTGCCATCTGTTCTGTGATCTTACAGTGACATCCTGGAACTGGAGCCGCATTGCTGAGCTGGACGGCTGAGGGCGGCTGGTGATCTCCAATATGGTTCTCAGGAGGATGTCCAGCAGGCTGGCCACTATCACATCTATTTCCTCCAATACAGATTTTTCCTCAAGAGAAAAAAAATAATGTGGGGCTTAATATGCATATTAATCTCTCTTTAATGGAAAAGGGGAAAAAGCCCGTTTCCAAATATAGAATCGAAGAGTCATAGTACTCGAGAACTTGAGAGACCTGGACCTCACCTAAGCGAATGACCTTTTACAGAAAACAAAGGCTCGAAGCAGTTAATGGCTTACCCAACAGTATACACTTTGTGCAATGGATACCTGAGATACAAATAAAAAGGTGGGTGATGTCATGGAAGGCACAGCAGACTCATTCAGGACACCAGCTAAGAGTCTAACAGGGCATGTGACATTGGACAAGTCAGTTTGTCTCTCTGGGCCCGATTCCTCACTAAAAATCTGTCCTGGTTCTTAAAGTCTAAGTCTTGGGTTCCAGATTGCACTTACGTTTACTCTTCTCATCACTAGAGTTGCACTGATCATTTTCCAAAACTCTATTTTAAGTGCAAATGGCTATTCCTATAAAAATGGTTTTTAAAGATCCCTGCACATAAATATTAGGAAATGGAGTTCAGCCCAGGCAAATACCCTTAGCTAGAGTGGACCTAAGATCAGTAGCCATGGGAGCTTTCCTGAAGCAAAGCTAGTACTATCCAAGCCCCAGGACTTGAGAGAGAAACCCACATTGCTCTGCATTGACTGTATGTATGCAGTGGACTCGGGTTCTTACTACGCCTGCCCAAAACAAAACTCTGTGCCCAAATGTTTCTAACCAAGGAGATTGCTCTTTGCAAAGAATCCTTTTAAGAAAGTATGAGTTTGAAAGAGCCTTTGGCTAGAATTTTATGATAAATTTTCTTATACTTGGGAGAAAACTACCAAGGTTTTCTCCCTAGTGAATTGGCTTCTGCTCTGAATTCCTTATTAGCTAAGTCCAAAAACTGATTGCAACTTCCAAATTGAAACAGACAAGGAGAAATAAAAAGAAATTTCCTCCACTACTGCCAATATGTTTTCAGTTTTGTGTAGTGAACCATCTAGCTTATTTTTTACTCTCAGCAATTATAATTTGGAAAAATATTCTAGGCATGGCATGACTATTCTTTACTGAATTGTATAGAGGGAATTTTAAAGTTGAACTAATACCTTCTCTCTTTCATCACTGTTCTATCCAGTTCCAGACCACCCCTGGGGCCTTGATCACAGGGTGGGTAAAAGTCAACTGTCCCTTTCTGTGTAGGTTCCTCTCATTCCACTTTTAGATGCAGAGCTTCCAGCCTTTTCCTCTCAAGTGCCAACTCGATTCCATGCTTCTAGGGCCTTATCTCCAACACCTCCACTGGGGTCCCATCTCAGCTCACTGACCTTCAGAAGCTGACCATAACTAAGAAGGACAAAATGGAAACCATAGCACAGAGGCAACAGGGAAGCAGAGAAATGGGAGTCTCAGTACTTGCTGCCAAACTCTGCTTGGTAAAACCTGTTACCTATGCACATAATGCTTAATTAACAGTCACAGGTTGACCCAATTGCAACAGGACATTCTCCATATGTGGATTTTGGATTTCACATAAGACCCTGGAGCCACGAACATGAACAGTCTTGAGTTGTCCTGTTTATAAGCAAGCACGCGATTTTTCTCATTTTGCACTGAACTCTCCAATGCTATTGCATTGCATCAAGAGTCAGGCACATGGACAGGAACCCCCAAAGCCATAACAATTTGGAGATCCCTGTTGGGGCTGAGTAATGGTTGTACTGGAAGATATCCCTAATTTCCTGGTGCTATCCTTCGCTTCTGTGATTTCCACGGGACCCAGCCCAAGGGCCATGGCCAAGTTCTGAGCATCACGATGCAGCCTTTCACAGAATGGGCCAAAAACGACTTCACTTTGCAAGCAGTAATTTATTCTTGCCACAGAGCATTCATCATATCAAGATTAAAGACACATGTGGGAGGCTTTGAGCTTTCTAATTTTTCTCACTTGGTATTCAATTCTTCCTTGAAATGCAAGTTTAGGGAACCTAAGTTATTCGGGGTTACAGTAATCCCACAAGGTTAAAAAAAATTCCTTCCCAGGAGAAGTAAAAAGTCCAGCCAGCTGGAAATAAAAGTGAGAGGCTCAGAGGGTTCCTCTTTAGGACTGTCTCTTTGTAGACATTTACAATTTCATTACCAGAAGCCATTTGATGGGAACTACATACTATGACCCGTATTTACTTACTGAGCTGTTTTTCTTGATGAGACAAAATACGTTGCTAAGGATACGTGCACACATGATCAGGTCCTTCTGCTCCTGCAAGTGGATGTGGAGGTGATGTAACACGACAGGCAGGAGGATGTACCGGGAATCTGAAGAGAGGAGAGTCATCAGTGTCACATCTGCTGGAGTCCCACGCACACATCGGGCAAATCGTCATCTACTTTTTAATCCAATTTTAATTATTAAGTTATTAACACATGTAGTTACAAAAGTACTAATTCTGCAAAATTTATATTGAAAAACAGTAATTTCTTTCACCAACCCATGATTTCAAGAGGCCTCTGACTCTTAGTTGAAATAGGTATCTTTTTCGTTTCAATTGTTTTCTAAAGCTATAATTGAATATCAATTTCTGAATTGCATGCTTACTTTGTAATTTCCTGAATTTTCATTGAGACAGACCATCTACTGACTTCCTACTATGATAGATGAAGACTTAGTTTTGTTTTTGTTTTTTTTTTTTTACCCCCCTCCCTTCTTTTCTTCCCAAGCCTTTCAAAACAGTTGTATCACGATTTCTGGCTAGATCAACATTACGGTTTTGCAGCCACTCTGATTTCCAACTCTTTGTACATAACTGAATTTTTGCTTTGTTTTGTTTTTCTCTCTCTGAACGTTTTTGAGAAATTATCTTTATCCTTGGTAATTCTACATTTTATAATTATGTGCCTTGCCTTGACCTTCAGTCTATAAACGTATGTCCTTTAGTTCTGGGAACTTGCCTTGAATTATTTCTAGTAGTATTTCCTTCCTTCTATTTTTTCTGTCCTCTGTCTGGAACTTCAACTGCATTTACATTACAGGTCTCTTGAGCTATCTCTCGAATTTTTTTCCATCTTTGTGTCCAACTTTCTAGGTGATTTCTGTACTTTACCTTCCAGTCCTTCTATTCAATTTTATTATCTATGCTATCATATATTTTATTTCCAAGAGTTTTCTCATTCCCAAGGCCAGTGTCATGGGTGTCCAACCTGTGCAGTTACACAGGTCCCTGTGCTCAGAAGAGCCCAGGCTTGGTGTAATGTTCTGTGTCTGCCACCTTGAAATTCTTAATTTCAAACAACAGGTCTTGCATTTTCATTACGCAGGCATTCCTGTTTATTTCTATGAACTTACTTACTTATTTATTTATGACAGTGTCACACTCTGTTGCCTGGGCTAGAGTGCAGTGGCATCATCATAGCTCACTGCAGCCTCGAACTCCTGGGCTCAAACCATCCTCTTGCCTCAGCTTCCTGAGTAGGTGAGACTACAAGCACACCTTACCACGCCTGTTTTTTTTTTTTTTTTTTTTTGAGAGATGTGGTCTCATTATGTTGCTTAGGTTGATCTTGAACTCCTGGCCTCAAGCAATCCTCCCATCTCAGCCTACCAAAGTGTTGGGATTACAGGAATGAGTAACCACATTCAGTCTGAATGTTCTTTTTTCACAGCTTAACATTCTTGTTTCATGGATAGACACTCTTCTCTTTCTTGCAATTTTTTTATGGTTTTTTTTGTACCCTGAATTATCTTTTTCTTTCAAGTCACTTTTTTCTGTTTCTTCATTTTATCTTCTACTTTTCACATTAGAGTTTTTTTCTGCAGTATCCAGTGACCTTTCATTGTCCATTCATCGTTACAAGTGAGGCACTAAGATACTAACTGGGAAAAAAATAACAGAAGCTCTGTGTGGCTAGGCAAGCTCGTGGACTAGGGAAGTATCACTGCAGGATGGGAGATATCCACATATTCTACTGTGGAACCCGCATAGTTCAGTATCTAAGATGTGCATCACTGCAGGACGGGAGGCACCCAGATGTGCCATCAAGGGACCCTCCCATAGTTCAGCATCTGAGATGTTTTCTCTTAGGCTGGTCAGTTTCTCTAGTGAGGAATCTACCACTCTCCTGTCTGGCGATCATGAACCCATCTTTAAGTGATTTGAAATCAAGACAGGAAGCAGCTGCCAAGGGTCTCTCTGTCTAATTACAAGGTCTTGTTTATAGAATGAAGCCTCATCCCCAAATTTAGCAGTGTCTGACATACCTGAATCTGCACCACATCTCATTCATTCACTTTCTCCAGAGAGTAAACTTGCAGTTTTTTGACAAAATAAAGGAGGGGATTGGCATAGGGCAGGGTGCTAACTATTCCTTATAAAGATTTCTAAACCAATTTTCATATGCACGGCACCCTTAATCTTTCAGAGATGCCTCATATTTTCAATTCCAGGTCCTTTCTGGCACCTGCCTGAGGTTCTGTGGTATAAATTAGCCTGCCCCTTGGCTGAACTCTCACACCACACCCACCATTCCCACGTCTCAGCCTTCTCTTGTCCACCGAGTCGACTGCCACTCGTCTTTGTAAAAATTGCTATCTCTTGTTGCATCTTTTCTTCCATTCTCTTAAACCTGCGAGATTATACCTCTTTAGAAAATTCCTGTATAGCCACAGATATAAAGACTCTTTTCAAAACTTTAGCAAATCAATTCTAACAATATATGAAGTCGATGTTTGATCACCCTTGATATCTGATTGGGCTCCTCAGCCTCCACCATCGCCCAGGGGATGTCTGATCACCTTGGCCTGCCTTCAGCAAGAATTCCGGTAGGTCAATTTAACCTGAATTTCCCTTCCCCTTGATGTTTCCTCTTAGTGATTTCCTATCCACCTGCCCCCACCCTGTTTCTTGGCTATAAATTCCCACTTGCCCATGCTGGATTTGGAATTTAACCCAATCTTTCTCCCCCATTGCAAAATCCCAATGCAGTTGTCCCTACACCTATCACCACAACCCTCACCTTGAGTAAAGTCTGTCTTCCCATCTTTAACATGTGTCACTGAATAATTTTGTCTTTAACAAGTTCCAAGGCGATTCAATGGAGAAATGATAATTTTTTCAACAAATGTTGCTAGAACAATTGGATACCCGTATGTAAAAAACAAATGAACCCCCGCCCTTACTTCACACCAAATGCAAAAAGTAACTTGGGATGGATCACAGACCTAAATGCAAAGGCTAAAAGTATAAAAGTTCTAGAAGAAAACATAGAAAATTCTAGTGACCCTGAGTGAGATAGAGATTTCTGAAACAAAAAGTACAACTATCAAAGAAGATAAGTGATAAATTATACTCATCAAAATTAAGAATTCTACTTGACTTGCACCATTGACCCTGTTCAAGGTCCCTATTTGATGCCTTCTTTCTATATACAGACCCAAGGCTCAGACTGCATAAATTAGAATTCCAGTTCGATCATATTCTAGCCCATGTCTTTTCATCTGTAAAATGGGGACAGCAACAGCACCTCCTTCTGGGACTGTTTTAAGAATCATATGAGGTAGCACCACCTGGAACACAGTGAGTGCTCTCTAGGTGTTGATTATTCTTTTCTCTTCCTCTTGCAACTTCTTCCTATATCCATCAATAAAACTGATTCTGTATCCTAATAAAAATCATAAGGAATGAAACAAAGCATCCACAACTGGGAAAGTGCCTTTATCAATGTATTTCTGATTTTTTTTTTTATTGTCTTTTTGATTTCTTTTAGGAGTTAGGTTTGGAGCCTAATGTTTCTTTTGATGCCTGACACTGGGCTACCAACACAAGGAGGTCTGGCCTTAGGTTTACCATCAAAACAAGTGAAATAAGGCATTCTATGTTTTAAGAAAACAAATACAGAATTTTAAAATCCCAACTTGTAAAATAATCCATTGCAGGCCTTCTTTAAATAGTAAGCCTCACCAGGGAACTTAAATACTTATTTACAAACCAATTACTTGACAAAAAGAACCAGGAAAAAAACCCTGAAAACTTAAGTGCCAGGAGTCACTGCCTAGTAATGTTTAATTAGAAAGGAAGATAAAGCTTATCTGATATGCTCCTGCAGCTAGGGGGATTTGATTTCTAAAATTTCAATTTGCAGCCAACTGTTAAGAAAATATCTAGTGCAAAAAAACTAAGTAAGGTAGACAAATAATTCGTGTGTGGCATGTATAAAAAGAAATATGTTACTGTCTAGCCTGCAGATTTGCTTTTTCTCCATTACTAGGGCAATGTCAGCCAGTGCAAATGATGGAATTGGTGGGTAAATGCCAAACAAGCTGACTGGTTGAAATGCTAATTATTCCCTTTAAAAGAAAACACCTGGACTCCTCAAGTAAGCCCTCCTAAAAAAGCAGAAACAAAACAATATCCGCTCCCCCCAGTTGAACACACACTAACTTTCCATACACTTAAGGATAGAGTATGCCCTATAGATTCTGCATTTGAAAGTGTCCACACATTCATATTGCATATCTCAGATAAAGCTCACTGTGCCATTTGTCTCCTTGAGTGTATAAAGGAATGACTCTCAATGACTTTTTCCTTTGTCTGTGCACATGAGTGGATACAGCTAGCTCCCATTAGTAATTCCCAGTGGGCACGGGACTAGGAAGGAGGAAGGGCAGCTAAGAAATGCTGGTAGATTTCCTCCTTTAGGTTAATTTTGAGGAAAGGCACACCTTTGCCTCCTCTATCACAAGTTTTGGACAAGGATCCTTGAAGTCAGCATCTGTCCAGAAAGGAGGGAGGTCTGTGAGTCCCATGGTGGCACACAAAGGTCATCAGTCACTTTCCATAAATTGGGCTCCAGCACGGGCTGGGCATGCGAGGGACACCGAAGCAGCTGCTGCACGGCAGCCTCTGGAGGGGAGACTGTTGACAGGGGGGCAGGAGGACGTGCTGCGGCACAGCTTTGCATGGAGCAGAGCTGCTGACTGCAGAGAGCCTGACATCAGAGCTGGGTCGGGCTGCTGTGATCAAAACCACCAGGGATTGAACTGCCAAGGTCACAGACAGCCACAAAACGTGCGAACAAGCGTTTCAGACGCTGGAATACAGACGACGAGCACTCAGAGGAAAGGACTGAAGATTCAGGGGTCGCATTCTCATGCACACATCAGGATCACAAAGGAAAAAACAGTGGAAGGCTAAGGATGATCTGGGAGTGTGGCTTACTGATCTCACCCACTGGCTTCAATCCTACCCTGGACTCCTCCACCTCGGGCATCCTTCCTAAAGATGGATGGATGTTCTGTGCAATTTGTACTTTGGTCAGCTGTG